GCATTGTAAATGGCGCTAGCCTAAATAGATTTCTGCCCCGTGTAACTGAAGCTGGCAATAAGACGTAACACAAGGTGCTAATATTAACAAACATATTCTGATCATCACTTTTTGTTTGGTGGTGCTGTAGCCACAGAACACTCCAGTGTCCATAACATTATTATATTGTTCATAATATTTTATTATCATTAATTTACGTGGGAAAAATCTAAGTGAGCCAAGTTGTGAAATGTGTTGGGGAGAAGCTACATGACAGGAGGCTGTGTGAGAGTGCTGAGCAGTTTAAACAAGTGCCGTGTGGACCTGAGAGGTTTACTGGGAGGTCAAAGGTCAGCTCAGTTTAATTGTGTTTTTTATACAGCCTGAACTCAACAGTTGCCTAAAGGCTCATTTTATTGTAAGGTAAAAACCCTACAATGATGCAGAGAAAACCTTCAACAATCAGGTTTCCCCACTATGAGCAGGCTCTTTGGCAGCAATGGGAAGGAAGAAACCCCAGCAAGAACCCCAGGCCCGTGGTGGGGAGGCCATCTGCTGTGTCTGACTCGGGGTGAGTCAGGACAAAGGCACACTGTGGAAGAGAGACAGATATTAATAGTAACTAATAATTAAATAGAGAGATGTGTACAAACACAAATAAAGGTAAAAAAAAAACAAAACAAAGGGGACTGAAGAAGAAACACTCAATGCATCATGGGAATTCCCCAACAGCCTTGGCCTATTGCAGTGTAACTAAAGGAGGACTCAGGGTCGCCTGATCCAGCCCTGATTATATGCTTTGTCAAAAAGAAAAGTTTTAAGCCTAATCTTAAAGGTAGAGATGCCATGGTCCTAATCCAGAAGAGGGTGGTGTGCGCACTCCAGGTCATGGAAGAGTTCCTGCCTTAAATGGAGAAGTTTAAGCTCACGAGTGAGAGGAGAAGGGAGTGTGAGATCGACAGATGGATTAGTGCTGCAACCACAGTGATGTGGACGCTGTACCTTCAATTTACCGGTCAATACGTGGAAGAAAATGGATGGATGGAAGACTGTTTACTACTAAACAGGACATAAAATTATTAATTAGGTTACAAAGTAATTCATTTCAGCTATATATGAAATAAATAAAAAAGGAAAGAAAAACATTTTCTGTACTTTTTGTGATTATTGTTTATTTTTTGCTATTAAGCCAAGATAACTTTTTATTGTCATTGCACAGTCATACTTAGTACAACAGTACAACATAATTGGAATATTATTCTTTTTTTTTTTTTACATGTAAATGTTAATGTGATTTCATTTTTCGTACTTAACTTTGGACGGAGCCTCTATGATAGAGGCTTCTGCAGCTCTTAATCAGTGTCTCCTCATTAACAGCTGCTAGTCTGTGTGATGTCTCTGTGTTGTCTGTGTGCAGCTGTTTTATGAAAGCCATTCAAACTTTTAGAAATCTCTAAGAATGATGAAGAAGAAACACTTCCCCACCCAGGGAGGTGGAGGTGGCTGGAGGTGCAAGGTTTTTGGACACCTGCTCAGGGCGGGCTCAAGATGCATCAGTGAAAACGCCTCCATTGTTTTCAATCACACATTTTGCAGTGATTTGTGTTAAGATGTGGCACCCAGAAGATGCATCTCAAAGTTAAAGTTCTGTTTCTCTTTAGCGTAACTGCTGAAGAGGAAGAAAATACCACTCTTCTTTTCTGAGTCTGCTGATGCAGATATCTGTGACAGAGCTTTTGCTTAAACATGGCACAGGATACAAAGAAAGATGGGGGAGATTATTTTTGTTACATCCAACATGAAGAGGAAAAGAAAGAGACGTGCTGTCCATGAAGCTGAAGGTCAGCAAGACAAGGTCTGAATCATCCACTCCTCCACCTTTGTTAGTGAGCATCCCTCTGTGTCCACTTGTGTCTGAGTCAAAATTTCTGAATTTCTCATTTATGTTTCATGGTTTCCTAAAATTTTGTCATTAGAAACAACAACTAACCTGAGCTGCTGTCAGGCGCTTTGGATCGGCAGCCTTGTGGAGTGGATGATGAAATCAGTGCATCATATAGACCCGGTGCTGTACAACATCCAGAAGTGATGAAGTCACATGGAGCTTCATCTTCTTTCTCTTCAGCTCAAAAGTGGCTCATTTCAGCATCTAAAAAACATCCAGGTGTGAAGTTTGAAGTACCAGCTTTACTTTGAATGGGATGTTTAGTGTGAAGCTTAGAAGCATTTTTTCAGAAATATTATCATAAGAAACATGTTCTAACAGGAAATTCACATCTTTTCATATTCTACTCATTCTGTTTCCAAATAAACTCGTTGGTTTCTCCAGTGTCGTCTTTGGTGCCTTCAGTCTACATACAGTCCTTCTCTTTATATTAATAAATGAGTTTAAAAGCCTAAAGTGTGTACTTGTAGCATTACAAAACTACATGTGTTTTCTGTAAAACACAAATAAACTATAACCTAACCCAAACTCCTGTACATCCCAAAGATGAACATAAACGAAGCATCTTAGAGTCATAGTTCTTTACTTTTAGCACTCAGAGTGAAACATCTACAGCTGTAAGCTCCATAATAGTTGACCATCATTTTGTTACGGGGCAGAAACGTTTTTCTAATGTTTCCTTACAATATTTATTTTACAACATCAAGCTGTTATCATTTCAGACCACACGGGGGAGCCCTTTATATATTTTTTGGACTATAAGCAGTTTAGTCTAGCTGTGAACATGTGGGGAGAGAAAACATCATAATCCTTTATTTCTGTAGAGGTTTCTAGTCATCCAGGTCATCTTAGTCTATGGAAAGAAAATCTGGACTTCTTTAAGTTTCTTGAAGACGTTTCACCTCACATCTGAGAAGCTTCTTCAATTCTAAGAGGAACTGGTGGAGAGTCCCAGATTTAAGCCCTATGGAAGTGTCCCTAAGAGGGTCATGGACCCCCTATTGATCCTCTGCCTAAGCCAAGGTGTAAAAACGGCTGTGAGTCACAATCAGCCAAGGTTTAGGATGAACCCTTTGTAAGACTGGCATCCCCTGGGTATAGACGATGGTGTGTAGGGCGGTCAATGACTTTGTCCTTTTCAAGTTTTTGTAGGCAACTGATACGTTATTTGTGCTTGCTTTTGGGGTCTCGTTTTAAGGATTCATAGGTATTGAAGTCACTGCAGAGTGTAGTAATGTTTGTGTAATAAGCTGCTGTGTTTAGAACAACAGTGCACCTCCTCTTATCGGCTGGACAGCCTTCTTGTCTTGTATTGTGAGGTTGGACAGAGGAACTTTTTGCACTGTAGAGGGTGGCTAAAACTTTCCTCCTTATTTGCTCTGATCCTGTTTGTGTTAATTTATTAATCATTATGGTTGTTTCTGTGTCTGTTTTGAAGTCCACTATGGGTAACTGTTGAGGAGAAATGGCAAAATTGAGTTCTGTGGCTAGGACTTCAGTGAGATTCCTGTCTGAAAAGTTCTTCACTCATTTTTCTTGACTTTCTTTGGTTGTGAAGTCCTCCTGTTCTTGTCAATATTGTGTATGTGTTGACTGGGAAGTATAAGTTTTCATTAGCAAAGTAGGGAATTTCTAGAGTTGTCTTTCTTTTCCTTTAGAGTGTTGGGCCCGCTGAGCCCTGGCCACAAACTTAAATAATGAAAACTCTAAAAATAGGGTAGGGTAGAAGTTTTGAGTTCTAACTAATCTTGTGCATCTATAGTGAAATGGACCTGTCTTATCCTTTCACTTGGAAGTTGATTTTGTGCACTCCATAGAATCGATAAAACTCTGCTCTGAGTTTGTTTCAAACTCTCTGAAACAAGTCTGCTCTGTCTGCATCTTAGATTGAAACTGACATGCTGAAGAGTTGTCCCTGTGGAGCTGTACATCAGAAAACTCCACTTAGTCACATGAATATTCTGGATGAGTTTCAAAAGATTTACTCCTTTTTTTCCTCTCATTT